AATTTTTTTTTATTTTTATATATTAATAATTTATTACAATGTATCTCTTTCATTCAAAATATTTCTACGAGTATAGTTTAATAAATTAAACAAAAATTTGATTTCTTACTGCAGGAATATGAACTTATTGATTTTAAATAATTTTGATTATATTGTGTTTGATTTTTGCAGGCGGAAAAATTATATTGATTTTGATTTAGTATTAAAATTTTCCTATATACTCTACTAACGACTATTGATACATTTTACGTAAGCATTATCTATAGGAGAGAACTCGGTAAGGGGGGGGGGGTAACCCAATGTGATGTCTTAATCATCAACTTTTATTCTCTTTCTCTTTTTACATGAAGCTCATCAAATAACATCAGTATACCCATCATACTGTAAAATCCCTAATTTCAAAACCCGACTAGACGTATGTGTATATGTGTACAATAATTAATGGTTACGGCATTTGACTATACATTGTACATACAATATAGATCGATTTTTACACCGGCATTCAGGTATGTTACAAGGAAAACTGAAAAATCTTAGATGAAATAAAAAGTACGTGATTTATAAATCAAATAATATACAATTATTCATGATTTACTCCTGCGCAAACTTTTCTTACAATATTCATGAAAAGACTACTAAATCAGTTCTGTTTGTTTTACTGTTTACAAATTCGGATTTTCAAATAAAAGATGAAATCCGCTGATATATTAATTGCATCCATCGAATATTTATAGAACCATTTTACTTCAAACAAATGAAACCCAGTCGTAATTTTCAGGTGTCATTTATCCGTGAACTCAACATGTACATATAGCAAAACAGATTTTCAGTTGACATGCACTCGGAGCCCGTGATCGCTGTTGTAAATTACCTTGATCACAGTTGAAAGGCGGAAAGAAGATCCCAATATATTTTTCAGGGGTATATCTGCGCACATTTAACAAAGGATTTAAAAAGGAATAGAAAATTAAGCATTTGTTTAAAGTAACACTAGCTTGAAAGTTACGACAAAAAATGAAAGATTGTACTAGTAATTTAATTTAACCCCCCCCCCCCGTTTCTAAACATGTGGTCGTCAGTGCATGTGAATAAAAATTATAATCCATTTATTTGGCAATAAGGGGCATTTGATGAGCAACACATTTTATGCATTAAAAGGTATTAAATGACACATCGTTTCAAAACTTTCTTTTAAAAAAAAACAATTCCAGTTTTTCTTTCTTTTTTGAGAAAAAAATATTTAAGAAGCCATGATCGCGTTGATAATATACTAAATTCAATGCCCTTAAAATTGTTGTACATAGCTGATTAATTTGAACACATTTTCTTTAGAAGGAAAAGAAAGCAAACAAATATATCATACATTACCGTGTAATTTTATATTGTTGTTCCATTTTGTTAACTCTTAAAATATCACAAATATAACTAATTCAATATTAAATACTAATACAATTTAACATCCTGACCCATCGATAGCCATATTTAAAATGAAATGACTTCCGAATGAATCTTACACGATTCTTGCACGAAAGTCACACGTTTCTCACACGGTTCTTACACGAAAGTCGCACGTTTCTCACACGCTTCTCGCACGCTCGCTACACGATTTGCACGAAACGCTTTGAAGCTTACACGAAACGCTACACGGTTTACACGAAACGCCAAACAGTTTGCACGAAACTGCACGGTTTACACGAAACGCTACACGGTTTGCACGAAACGAAAGGCGCACGAAAGTCACACGCTTTTTTAGGGTAGTAGTACGTCTCAGGGTCTGTATACAAATACATTTATACTTTAACTTATTATAACATTACGAAAGCAGTTATACCTTGACTTAAAACAGTAGTATATAATATTGCAGGATACATTGTTTCTGATTAGATCATAATATATCGTGTGTAAAAAAAAACTCCTTGTAATACAATGTATACATAAAGTAAAAAAAAAAAATCAATGTCAAATTAAAAAAAATTATTCAAATGTAATTTTATGCACTTTAAAGAGAAAAAGCACTGCATATTAGAAATTTTATTTAGTATCAAATCTCTCTATTCAATCTTACATTGGAAGATAAATTCTGTGTCGGATTTGTTAGTGTGCCGGATAGTACATATTGTATTCTTTAAAGCAAGTAAAAAAACCCCTTAATTGGGAATTTCAATAAGGGTCCGAATTAACAGTAGAACAGATTGCATAGGTATCAAATTAAATATTCGTATCAAGACAGGAACGAATTTTTGCCTCATACTTCAGTTTCTAAAAGGTATTCTTAATCCTTTATTTTCAGTTTTGTAAATAAACGTAGTGTTTATTTGTAGATGACCTGGTTTTTTGTTTTGTAGGGCAATTGTAGATGACCTTGGGTTTGTGTTTTGTATGGTATTTGTAAATAACTTGGTTTTGTGTTTTGTAGGGTATTTGTAGATGACCTGGTTTTTTGTTTTTAGTGTGTTTGTAGATGACCTGGTTTTGTGTATTGTAGGGTATTTGTAGATGACCTGGTTTTGTGTTTTATAGGGTATTTGTAGATGACCTGGTTTTGTGTTTTGTAGGGTACTTGTAGAGGGCCTAGTTTTGTGTTTTGTAGGGTATTTGTAGATGATCTGGTTTTGTAGGGTATTTGTAGATGACCTGGTTTTGAGTTTTGGGGGGTGTTTGTAGATAACTTGGTTTTGTGTTTTGTAGGGTATTTGTAGATAACTTGGTTTTGTGTTTTGTAGGGTATTTGTAGATGACCTGGTTTTGTGTTTTGTAGGGTATTTGTAGATAACTTGGTTTTGTGTTTTGTATATAGGGAGTTTGCAGATGACCTGGGTTTGTGTTTTGTAGGGTATTTGTAGAGGACTGGAATTTGTGTTTTGTATGGTATTTGAAGATGACCTGGTTTTGTGTTTTGTAGGATATTTGTAGATAACTTGGTGTTGTGTTTTTGTATGGTATTTGTAGATTACCTTGGGTTTGTGTTTTTAGTGTGTTTGTAGATGACCTGGGCTTGTGTATTATAGGGTATTTGTAGATGACCTGGGTTTGTGTTTTGTAGGGTATTTGTAGAGGACATGGTTTTGTGTTTTGTAGGATGTTTGTAGATGACCTGGGCTTGTGTATTGTAAGTTATTTGTAGATGACCTGGGTTTGTGTTTTGTAGGGTATTTGTAGATGACCTGGGCTTGTGTATTGTAGAGTATTTGTAGAGGACATGGTTTTATGTTTTGTAGGATATTTGTAGATAACTTGACTTTGTGTTTTGTAGGGTGTTTGTACATGTATATGACCTGGTTTTTGTTTTGTAGGGTACTTGTAACACAATCCAAATCAAAAAAGGAAAATCAAAATTCCTTTTTTTAAACCCATTATTTCAAATCTGAAGCCATTTTAGGCTACAATATCATTAAATGAAGCTCCTCCAGTCTTTTTTGCAATAGAAAACCCTAAAAATTCAAACTTTTGGATCCTTTATTATTTAACAAAGAGACCTGTGAGGAACGTTCCTCTCAAAAAATCTTTAAATATACATGAATCTTAGACAAAGAGACCTGCGAGGAACGTTCCTCTCCCAATTTCAAATGAAATCAATATCTACATGAATCTTAAACAAAGAGACCTGCGAGGAACGTTCCTCTCCCAATTTGAAGTGAACTCAATATCTACATGAATCTTTAACAAAAAGACCTGCGAGGAACGTTCCTCTCCCAATTTCAAGTGAAATCAATTTATACATGAATCTTAAACAAGGTGACCTGCGAGGAACGTTCCTCTCCCAATTTCAAGTGAACTCAATATATACATGAATCTTAAACAAAGAGACCTGCGAGGAACGTTCCTCTCCCAATTTGAAGTGAACTCAATATATACATGAATCTTTAACAAAAAGACCTGTGAGGAACGTTCCTCTCCCAATTTCAAGTGAACTCAATATATACATGAATCTTTAACAAATAAAAACCTGCGAGGAACGTTCCTCTCCCAATTTCAAGTGAACTCAATATGTACATGAATCTTTAACAAAAAGACCTGCGAGGAACGTTCCTCTAAAAAAATCTTTAAATATACAGGAATCTTAAACAAGGAAACCTGCGAGGAACGTTCCTCTCCCAATTTCAAATGAAATCAATTTACACATGAATCTTTAACAAATAAAAACCTGCGAGGAACGTTCCTCTCCCAATTTCAAATGAACTCAATATATACATGAATCTTTAACAAGGAGACCTGCGAGGAACGTTCCTCTCCCAATTTCAAATGAACTCAATTTATACATGAATCTTTAACAAAAAGACCTGCGAGGAACGTTCCTCTCCCAATTTCAAATGAACTCAATTTATACATGAATCTTAAACAAGGAAACCTGCGAGGAACGTTCCTCTCCCAATTTGAAGTGAACTCAATATATACATGAATCTTTAACAAAAAGACCTGCGAGGAACGTTCCTCTCCCAATTTCAAATGAAATCAATTTATACATGAATCTTTAACAAAAAGACCTGCGAGGAACGTTCCTCTCCCAATTTCAAATGAACTCAATTTATACATGAATCTTAAACAAGGAAACCTGCGAGGAACGTTCCTCTCCCAATTTGAAGTGAACTCAATATATACATGAATCTTTAACAAAAAGACCTGCGAGGAACGTTCCTCTCCCAATTTCAAATGAAATCAATTTATACATGAATCTTTAACAAATAAAAACCTGCGAGGAACGTTCCTCTCCCAATTTCAAATGAACTCAATTTATACATGAATCTTAAACAAGGAAACCTGCGAGGAACGTTCCTCTCCTAATTTGAAATGAACTCAAAAATACATGAATCCATAACAAAATACCTGCAGGAAACATTTCTCTCACAATTTCAAATGAACAGAATATATACATGCATCTTTAAAAAAAAAACCTGCGATGAACGTTCCTCTCCCAATTTCAAGCTAACTCTATACATGAATCTCTGACAAAAAGACTTGTAAGGAACGTTCCTCTCTTAACATATATATATGAATCTTGATCACACTGAGCTGTAAGGAATATCCCCCTCCTTTACAATTTTTTTTTCTTAAAACATGAAAAATAAACAAAAAAAGAATTTTTTTAAACACATATGACCGTTCACAGTAGCTCAGTCGGTAGAGCACTTGCTCCATGATCAGGAGGTCATGAATTTGAATGTTGGCTGCGAGCGACCTAAGTCGATAAAAAATGGGTAGCTACTGTTCCTTCACCATGCACTTGGCACTTTTAAGTAAAAGTTGCGGGTCCTTTGGATGAGACCTTTTGGAAGAAACTGAGGCCCCGTGTCAGTGGCAGGCGCTGTCATGATAAAAATCCTTCACTGCTCAATGGCCCTGAGTGCCAAGTAAAGGTAAAAATTTGAAGCCCTTCACCAGCATACAGTGACGTCTCCATATGAGTGAAAAATTCTAAGAGATGGAAGTTAAACAATATACAATCTTAATACATGAATCAAAGGATATGGATATCTTGATAAAATTGACGAGACAAGAATATCAGTGGTCTTGTTTAAAGTCATCATTTCCTAAGTTCTTTGGTTGATACAATGACTTTGTCAGAAAATACAATTTATCTTTGAGTCAAATGCTGACTGACTTTTTCATACCAATTGTAAGTAATAGTCCATTATTTATATACACTGAATTGAAGACAGATTTTCTGTTATTTCCTGATCATGACAAGGAGCACATGGCAGACGCAACTGGTCAGCAGGAGATGCTCACTCCTCCATGGCACCTGATCCCATCACCGACGTTTTGAGGTCCGTGTCTGCTCTGCTCCTATTTTGTATTGTTTTATGGACTTTGAAATTGAATACTGTTTGTTATCTCTATATCCTTCACCTCCCTATGCCATTCAGTGTAGTTTACATTTATGAATCCTAAACTGTTTGTACTTTTCTGGTTTTGATGTGTCCTAGTATCTAAAGTTGATTGAAAGATTTTGTAGAAGCATAAAGAATATGATGCTAAGGGTTATATTAACATTTACACATATACTTGAGCATTCCTTCTTTCACAGTATGTAACAAGTTGCAGTCCTGGTTGGAATGTGAACAAGATAAGAATTCTATGCAATGCAGAGGATTTTACTGGATTGTCCAGTTCACAATGTTGAAGGTGTGCATACATTTCTTCCCATTTACACACACAAGAGAACCTGAAAAATGAATTTACAAGTATTATATATGAAAGCACAGAAAAAAGTATACAGTTTATGTATATCATTGAGGGAGTAAAAAAAAATTGCAGTTACCCAAAAGCAAGTGTATTTACTGAAGCACAGTCAGTTTTTTTATAACGATATCAAAAATAAGACTTTTTTTAAAATCCTTAAGTGTAATCCTATTTCTGCACTACCTGAGTATGATTCCATATAAAAATGATTATCCAAGGCTTTATTGTCTTGAGAAGATTTCAAAAGATTTTTCCTATAAATTCCTTTGTACAACTTTGATTGTCCATTTTAGCCCCATCTTACCCCATGGTCATATGATTTAAACAAAATTGAATCTATACTACTTCAAGATGCTTCCATATGAGTATTATCCTTCTAAACAGAGGGGTTATTGAGAAGATATTTTAAACATACCACCAAATTTTCACTGTTCCTTAATTACCTCAACTTGAAAGAAAGCATGGTCGTTCATTTTTAGAAACTTGAACCCTCTTCACACAAGGATGGTTTGTGGCAAGTTTGTTTGAAATTGGCATAGTGGTTCTTGAGAAGAAGTCAAAAATGTGAAAATTTTACAGACAGATGGACAGACAGACATACTTCAGACAAAAATGTGATCAGAAAATCTCACTTGAGCTTTCAACTCAGGTTAGCTAAAATGTAGCAATCTGTTCAGCATTGAAAAGTTTAAATATAATGTTGAGAAGTAAGGGCACTGCCAATACACTACCCAGACATCTCAAAAATTCATAAAAAAAGTAAATTTACCTCTGGATTTTCATCTTCATTTGTAAGTATTCTCTGTAAATCTTCAGGAATTGCAGGGTGTTCATCAGAGTCAGAGTCCTCAATGGCATTTGAATTGTATTGTGGTATCTTTGGAAGATACCATATTGCCCCTTTTCTTGAATATCTACTGGGATTGCTTTTAGTTTCCTCCAAGAAAGCTACAAACTTTTCCCACCATGCACTCTCTGCTGTTGTCATCATCTTTGCCCATACATTTAAACTTTTCTTGACATTAGCCACATCAAGCTTCTCCAATGACGCCGTCAAGATATTGGGAACATTTGTTGGCAGCATTACCGTTCCATTTTCCCTTTCTTTGAAGAAGCTTCCCTGCAAGGACTTCCAGGAATGGTCCACATTTTTTCTGTAGCAGATGTGTACATCACCTGTCAACTCATTCAGTCGATACCTTATTAAACATAAAGAAGATATACATTAGCTCCTTTTGTCTTATTCTACTTTTGTTATGATTTTTTTTTCTTCTCTCCATATTGTATCTAGCAGACAAAAGAAAACATTTTTACTCCATAGTCATAATCTCTTAAGCATTAAAATATAAAGTGAAAAAGCTTAACTGCATGACTACATTTTGTAAATCTTTTTGTAAATATTGAGTTGAATCTTCTAACAGTGAATGACTCTTAGAAAAGTCAAACTAGAATCAATGTGATTGAATAATTCCTAATATTCTGATTGTGCCTAGTAGTACACTCCTCCCCACATCTTTCTTAATGTATTTTTTACCAAATGTATTCATTTAGTATGAAAATAATGGTTGCCCTTTTTCACTTTTTGTTACAGGACACCAGCAATCATCTTTCAAAGGACATTTAGTCCACTGTAAAATGTACTAGTGGTTCCGAGAACCCACGGGCCTTATAAGTCACTTGAGTATCACGTAATAACTTTCCAAGAATTGAATTTAGTTCATGTTTTAAACCAGAGGCTATGAAATTCTCAATTTATAAAGGCACCATTACTTATCTTAAGTATACGCATACTTCGGTTACTTAATTTTCAGAGGTAGATCAGAGTAACTAAGAGAAAATGCATTTCCACTTTACCAGTTGTGCACCCCTCCCTACAGGAACCACTAAACCTTGCATCACATGTAACAACAATATACCTAAACTTTTTTAGAACATGTGGGTACAAAAATACACAAAAAAGCAAATAGAGGGATACTGGTGAACATGAACGCCACACCACAAAATATCCCTTCCTGAGACCAGTGTCTATAAATATGTTCATATAATTTACTATCTAAAATATTACACACCTAAAGGTGTTGGTCCTTGTGTGGTATTTTACGCCTTTTAAGCAAGGAGATAACCACCCAGATATATCAAGACAACCTCTTAGTTCCTCTGCATTGTAGAGGATGTCACTCATCTCTGGTAGTGTTGCTGCATCTCTGTGTCTGAGATTATCAGCAATGACACTGAACATCTGGTCTATATCCTCATGCGTGTGGCCCACATGAAGAAAGGAAAGTTGGACCTGAATTATCAAAATAAATGAATAAAAGCACTTAAATCCTAGGATAAGCTTTTAACATCCCCCTTTAAATCCCTTTTTAAATATTTAATTTAAAATTTCAATAATTTAAATACCTTTATAAAATCAGATTGGTTACTTAAAATACACTAAATTGTTTTTTTTTTTTTTTACCATATTTCTGTATCTCTTCTTTTGCCCAAACTATAAATTTATAAAACTTAACAATTGTAATTTAGTCTGCAAAATGATTATAAGCAGGTACCTCATAAAAAATTCGACGCCTGACTAAAAGCTCCAAGAAAGACAGAACAAACTTATTCTTATTTTCTCTGAAGCAGTTGTCTGCCTGTAGGTAGAGGACAGGAGGCAATGATTTTCCCTGTCAACATAGAAATCATTTTGTTCAAATTCTCAAACTGGTAAATACACTGCAGCTGTGTGCAACTATCATTGTCCGACGTCCGGGCTATTAATTTTAGAGGTCAGACTAGCATCGTCCTTTGGGCTTAGCCTAGTAAATGTAAAATTATGTACTGTAGACGTACTTTTTTCCACAGGGTCATAATTTTGTGGAATCTCAATTTCTGTTAAATCCACGGGTAGGAAATTATGAGGATTACTTAGACTGTCAGAATATGTATTACTTTTATATTAAGTTTGCTTGGACAAAATGCTTTGGAAAATTTATGACTGTGTACATAGCGTAAATTTAATTAATACCACACAGAAAAAAGTACTTGTACAGTATTTGAATATTTTTGTCGACTTAATTGATGTATGAATAAACTTTGGTTTAAAATCATAATCTTTAATTTTTTTTAGTCTATATATATTGGGTGTTGACATCGCCAGTTGTTTTAGTGACAATAATAGTTGCTGAATCGCTGCATTTCATTTCCAGAAATATGCATAGCATTTCCGACATTTTAAAATTTTATTTCTAATATTTTTTTCCGACACAATTTTTTTTTTCATTTCCGGAATTTACCTGTGCTGCAATTCAATGTTTTCTCAGTAAAAGAAAATTGAATTTTAAAAGTATGTTATGCCAAAATATTAATAAAAAAAACATGTATACATATATGCACACATGTGGCACTAATTAAGTCAAGGTAAAAGAGTTTAATGGGCATAAAACTTTTTCACCATATCTAATGTGCACGAAATTAAATATCAGTGACAGCACCATTCTTATATCCAAGTCACTGATAGATTTACAAAGTTGGATTTCAATGATTTATTTATTATTTTTTCCTTTAAATTTTTCAGAAGTAAAGTTATCAAATTTTGTTACTAAAGGTACTACTTAAACATGTATTTAAAAATGTCCGAAATGAAAACAAAAATGTCGGAAATGAAAACTATAAAAAATGTCGGTAATGAAAAGTTGATAATTACCAGAAATTACAGAAAAGAAATGCAACTGATATAATAGGGAGAAGAACCTGGCAATAAAAATGCACAAACTATTATTTGTTTAATTATTTTCAACTTATCAGACTAGTATCTTTGTTATTGCCACTGGCCCAACCGGTTAGTAACTTATATTTTTTTAATTGCACACCCCTGCACTGTAAATTTTTGTAAGGAATATTTCTGTTTTCTACCTTTGAGTGGTTCCATAACACTTTCATCAAAACATTCAGTGTAAGATTGGAATCATGTTTGTACTGGTGCAGGTCTGTAAACAGATATTTTCTATTCAGGCCATGACTCAAAACTCCAGTAACATGCACATTCAATTGCCTTGTTGCTGCAAACTCCTATAATGAGAATTAAATATTATTACAGAGGGAAGGCAGTGAGACATAAAAAAGTAAAAAAAAAAAAATGATTTCATCTCTGTATTTCTTGAAATTTTATCACCATCACCTCACAATTACATCACATATTGCTCATCAAAATACAAGATCTTGACAATAAACATATTATCTTTATAAATAATACATGTACATGAAGAATTGTTTACAAAATGTAATATCAGATTTGTTTGTGTGTTTGTTGTTTTACGTTCATCTCAAGAATTCTTCACTCTTATGGAGAAGCTACAATTTGCCAGTGGAGAACTGCAAATTTTGACCTTCTATTGCGCTTGGGGCCATTGAGCAGGGAGGAATCTTTTTAGCTCCAGTACCTATTATTACATGGAATCTTGGTTTTTTTGGTTGCGGGAAAATTTGAATACTGATCCCGATCACAGAATAAAGAAGAAGAGAAACTGAGGAGGGTGGACAATTGAGAAATATTTTAATAATGGCCTAATATTTTTCCTATTCAATTGGTAAAGGTAAACCTAATAACAATGTGTTTATTTGTACCTTGCTTGGTCTTCCCTTAAAATGAGGAATATTTGTTTTGGACTGATCCATTCCATCGATTATGAGGCTTATGTATCTATCAGGTCTTCGTCTGCTTACTGTTTTTCGTCTGTAATATGCTGATTTCTCTTTCCTATAATATAATTATATGTCTTCATTAATTTGCAGATTCATGATAGCATATTTTATGTGCCCATATTTTGAGTTTTGCTATATAATATCAATTATGGTTACACCACAAATAACAACATCAATGTTGTATTGTTATTGTATTAATGGAAAACTGTGAAAATCATTTAATGCAATTTACTTATTTTTAGTAGAAAGATGCAGGGACCTATACACTAATTAAAGTATATAGGTTCCTGGAAGATATGATACTGTTTAATATTTATTTACATTTGTCTGTGCAGATGTTCTTGTTTCTTTAGAAAAATTTCCTTTTTTTTCTCTGGGTTTAATTGCTTGTGTAGTTCTCTGTCAAGCTTGTCACATGTAGTGCATCTTGTAAACAAGTTACTCTGTAATACATAATAGAAAGGTATTCATTGATATGAATTAACCAAACAAAATAACAGTTAATTAATGTTACACCAGAAAATGATGAACTTATAGACTCTAAAAGTATACAATTGCTTAAATAGGAAAATTTCTCACCTGTTTAATTTTCACATGCGGAAAGTGTTCATTCCAAATGTTGAGGAAAGTCTGAAAAGTAACACAAGCCATGTTCTCTTCCTCTGCATCCTTTTTATATCCAGCATAAATTTCATTTTTTCTTAAACCAAATGGCAGCCAAATTTCTTGGATGTGAGGTGGATTTTCTCCTCTCATTGCTGTATATTCTCCAAACCAATTGATGACATAAAGTCTTTTTTGTGATGTTGTCCTTCTTTCGTTAGAGAGTTGCACTTCACTTGTCAACCATGTTCTTCGTTCCTTGTAATAGATTGATTTCTTAATTCCATAAGCAATCAACCAACTCTTTAAGCAAACCTTGTGGCCTTTAAGAATGAATTTAAAGGTTCCCCTTTTTACACTCTGAAAGTCATCAAACTTTCTTTGAAACCATTTTGGCCTCTCTGTGGTATTCAGACTCCATAATGTTGAATGGCAATTTTCAATCAATTCTCTTGTGAAGAAGCTTTGCCTTGTACATTTCTTCGGACAAGTACATTGTTCTTGAGAGGCCTTTTTAATAGTGCTTTTGGAGATCTTCTTTTCCTGAAGTCGAGTTCTTGATGACAGAGCAACTGAAATATAATTAATTACTATGAATGCATAATACAATTAGGTATTGACTCATGCTGACAAACAAAATTGCCGATTCCAATACACCCATCCCCCACTACTATCCCCCACCCCGAGAATAATTAGTTTTATTTGTATTATACAGTACGGTATCAAATTAGTTTATTCATGTTATCAAGTTGTCTCATCATTGTCAACAACAATTTAAAGTCCCTGAAGTTATTTCTTAACCATGCAAGGAAAATTTGTTCGCCATTTGAAAAAACATTAGTGCCGAGAAATCCATGTCTTACTGAAATTCCAAGGATGACAAAGAATTGTACTGCATGATTAAGTATGTACATTTAATAACTCTGCAAATTCAGGGGAACACACACAGATCCGACATGAAAATTTCAATCAAGAAGAATCCTAGAGAAATTAAACAATGGAAACGAGAAAAAAATTATAAGTGGTGAGAAAATTTTTTGTGTAAGGGTGATTTTGACAGGATGGTCAGAGTACATAACATTAAACAAATAATTTTCTATTGTTTGAATTACTTTAACCCTTTTAATTTGTGAACTCTTTCAGCTATTAATTCATTTAACCTTATTGATTTTAAAGATACATAAACAGTAACCACATACTTATCTATAGAGCTAGAAATATTATTATGACTTTAAAAGGAATTTTAAAGATCGTCTTAGGATAAACATTACATTTCTTCCTCTTTTTCAATGATTTTTTAGTGTTGATTCACATTTTCAATAATAGCATCATAATATTCATCATAATATTCATATTAAGTAGCTAGTCAGGTCCAGGACAATCACTAGATTTAGCTACATAGGTAGAATTACCTACGTAGCTTTATTTACCTACCTCAAGTAGCTTTATTTATCTATTTGAAGGTAAGTTTTCAAAAGTTTTCTTTTTATTAAAAAGAGACAAAAAGTTGCAATGAAATAACTATTGATATTTATACTAGGGAGGCTTAAAAAACAATCAAAAGCAGAGATAGTTTATACATTGTTGCGTTTGAACAATTTAGAGCAAAACATGTAATTCCATTGTTCAGTTAGCTGTCCATGCGGTGAGGCATGACTGAGTATGAATACTTCACATTGTGCTGAATGATTTCCGACCTATTATCTTGTTAACCAATACTGGACTTCTTTGTCATTTCATCCAAGGGGTAACTGTTCTAACTGTCATACATAGCCCCAAAACTTTCAGAACTTTGATTGCAATTGCGCAGAAAAAGACATTTTTCCAAGAGGGATTTTTTCATGAGTTGTTTTCAGGTGAGTTCTAAGTTGAAAATGATCACTGCATCAAAATGATATTTTCTGTACACCCTGAGAAAAATGATTTTGAATAGAAATAAACCAGTTTGGTAGCTAAATAAAGCTACCTCAGGTAGGTAAATAAAGCTATGTAGGTAAATCAAGCTACTTAGCTAAATCTAGTGATTGTATCAGACCTGCTAGTGTCTCACATCTCACAATATGTCATAATACATGAAAGCAAGGATTTGTCTGAGCATAGGGAGTGAGTTTAGACAGGTGGCATGGGCATATAAGATTACTCAATATGTCACCATAGAATGTGTTAAATTATAGCTTGTCCGAGCTCAAGTCGTTAAGAATGGGATCTCTGCCTTCCAAAGTCGAGATCACCTATAAGCCCGGTGTTTTAAACAAACAGACATTACAAAGTGGAAGCATTGAACACATTTATCTCCGCTTACATAGATCTTATCTATTAATATGTGAATAAAAACATGAAAAACAATGCTGCACCTAACTTATAGACAGACCCAAGCTTTTCCTGTGATCAGAAGCCAGACGTTTACTAGATGTGGCAAAAAAAACCACTTACTTGTATCTATGAATAGCGAAAATGTATTACATAGACACAAAAAGTAGTAAAACGTGCCACTTCTCTCAATTTTTAATCAAATAAAGCGCATCCAAACGACCAATGTTGAAACTGAAGGAGCACTTCCGTCATAATGTCACACATGCGTATTTACAGTATATGGAATATTCCGAAGATTGAACCCGATTGCTATTATGCTTGTGACTCGTGAAAACGAATGCTTGGCCGTCTCTGCATCAGATATTCAACTTATTACTTATTGAAGTTCTATTAACGATAGTTTTACATGCTTAAAACGATTTTTACACCAAAATCCTAAAAGTATTGTCATTAAAAAAGATTTTTCAAAAAGTCATTTTTCAGCAATTTTAATTTGGTTTAAAAATGTGAAATTTTCCGGTTTGATGCCCGCTGCCCCACTTAATTTTTATCCCATATATTATTTAGGGAGAGACTGTTGGAAAATAACATGTTAATTTTAAAAAGAAATCTGTACATGCTGTACTTAGAATATCAAGCAGCAATTTATTTTTACTAAATGAAGTTAATAATTTTGAGCTCAATATGTTTAATTCGCCCTAGAAAGTAATATTAAGTGGATCAGCAGTTTAAAAAATAATTAAACCTTACGACAAGCATATTTTCTTTTTAATTCATATGTTAATTTTTTTTTTTTTTTGCTTTTAATTTTAGAAAGCTAGCATAAATTTCTGAATTGCATGGATTTCCACAATTTCACGAGGCAATGTCTATTTTTAGTAACCATCCTTTTAAAAGGAAGCCGGGTTGATCCCAAAATTTACACAGAACTGGAAAGGACAAATACTTAGCTAAGATTCTGAGAAGTTTCAACGAAATCTGTAGGTCTGTTATTTCCATTGCATGGTAACGGATCTTATAGCTACATGTACCTTAAACTTTTATTTGACATGTGTGTATTTTATTTTAATTCAAAGAAACGAATGCACACTTTTTTAAAATGGGGAGAACTCCAAGAGACCAAGAAAAATGAACTTTTTCTCCTAATTCCAAATGTGTGAATGTTGTGCTTCTGTGGGCAATAAACTACCAAGTAAATGATACAGCCCCCCCCCCTGGCCTCTGAATATAATTTGTAGTGTCCATGCATGTTTTGCAATGTAAACCCAAAACATGTATGTATCATAAGGTAAAATAAGAAGTGCACAATGGAAATATCTATGTAATAAAGATTCTGTGAAAGTCTCATCAAAATTCCTTAAATGGTACGATTGGAGTTGTGGATAAGATATTGGTACTCCAAAGCGTAACAGATGGAAGGACGGACATACATCGCAATTACTATATAATCCTCCCGCTCGTCAAGGGGGTGATTATTTAGGTATAATTTTATGCAAAATTTATGGATTAACTTTTTTAAGAAATGGAGAAGCACTCGCATTGTATAAAAGTGCAATAAATCATAGGCGTTGGAACTGAAGGGGGGGGGGGGGCTTCCCCCCTTTTTTGCATATCCATACATAATATAGGCATTGAAAATCGGGGTTTACATTTTTTTGTTGGATTAGCAATCCCCCCCCTCACATTTTCAATTTGCCTGCCCCCACTTTCGATTGGCTTCCGACGCCTAAGTATGTAAATGGAGAAAAGAAATCTTTATGATAAATATCCTCTTTCATTTGTGTATAACATTTCATTTTCAAAGGCAAATAACTTCAACTTCATGACATTGTGGAGAATTTACAAGTATACCACTATAGACTAAATTTGCTCGTCATGTTCACAAATCTTTAAAATATAAGAGTAACATGTATGAACTTCTTTTACTTGAAAATTATAAAGTTAAGTGATATGTTGTTAGCAGAAATCATAATAATTTAAATTCTTAAGAAAACAAAGCAAATTAATTTGATCATACACATGTACAATGAAGTGAAAGTAAGTAAACATACCTTTATTTTTCTTAGGAGTATTGCTCATTAAAGGCTCAATGAAATGTAAATATCCAAATGGCTCTGAATCCGTGGAACACCCACTTGTTTGTAAATCGGATGATATAAGAGAAAGTTCTTTACTTATCTCACTTGATTGTTCATACAAATCTTCTTCCCGTATATCAAATGCTTGAACAGGGGGCGGCGTGTCATCACAGAATGAAAATACATCACGGTAAGCACGACTTGTAGAAAAATCAGATTCTTCGAATTTGGACAACTCTTGAATTGATTCTGTTAAACAGTTAGTACGGCTACTGTGACCTAACGATGATTCATATTCCTGTGATTCAATAATAGAGTGTTCAGAAATAATACTGTCATCCATTTCACTCAGAATATCATAATTGAATAATGAAATAATAGCATATTGCATTTATAAAGTGCTAGGTCCCAATTCATTTCCACTTTTACTAAGAATGAGCACCTTCTGCAGTTCCATGCATTCGGTTAAGAGATGTCAATCAGACTGGTAATACTGATAAGATTAATAGAGGCGTGTTTTCAGTATGCATGCAACTTCAGACCCGTGTCTGTAGCACATGTGATCCATGCCTCTTACAAGGTGCAATATGTGGTCCATTTCAAAGTCACAAAATGCAGTATTTATGAAACAGAAAGGCAGCATAGTTGGAAAAGTGTGGGATATTGCAGCCGCCAACAACAAAGGATGCATCAAGGTATGATAGTCTAAATACGTATTTAAAATAATTTTTTGTGACTTATACATCTCCTTTAACAGAATTTATTCTAAAGGGTAAAATATCCTAGTGAGTTCAATTAGTATGGTACAAAAAAAATCAGGAAAATATTTAGGAACTCATTCATTTTTTCTTTTTTTTTAGATAATGATGAATGGCTTTGACAAAATTGTGCGTCTTGAGGAGTTCAATGCAGAAGACAATGAATACTCAAGCTTATTTGCTGGACATCTTAGCAGTAGAAATTCATTTGTGGAGAGATGGAGGACCTTAAAAGAATCAGGTATGATTTGATATTGACAATTTGCTTGCATCAATTTTGCAAATACACAGTTGATAAATGTAGTATTTTAAAAATATTACTTGGACATATATATAAGTAGAATGAACATGCATGTCCATCCAAATTTAAAGAATCAAACGAAAAAATGTTTCTTGTATGGGGGAAAAAATCAGAATTTATTTTGGAGTTAAAGGATAGCAGCCTAATACTGTGTAAGATGCATTTAGATTTTTGTACAGATTTTGTACATACATTTCATCTACTTTTGTAAGCATGAGTTTGAAATTGCATGTGGAGTGGGATGGGAATGGGGGGTTTTGGCAGTGAATAAAAAATGGTATGATAGAATATTGAACACTTTTCTGCATAATACATTTATTGAAGTGAAATATTCCATGGCTAAACTGTTCGGTCAACATTTTTAGATGTGTTTAAAAAATATAACATATACATGTATTACATCTAATAAAAACAATATTTAAAAAAAACTCTTTGAAATGTTAGATTTTGTGGACAAGATGCTTGAAAAGTTGATTTCTATTTAAAATGCCTTGACTCATTAGAAATATCCCCAAAAACTCTGTCTCAGGAAGGGGGACCCCTCCCACTGCCCACCACCTACACCAAAATCTGGATTGACATTATACCATCACTGTATAACCTGACAATCCTCACCATGTATCAGAAGTCAAAATGAATGGCTACAGTACTAATTAAACAATGCTTAAATACCTGTAAAAAAAATCTTAACTGATTAAATTTGTTTTTTTTCAAATATCTCAGTTATATCCAACAAACTACATCAAAACCACAAACTGCCTTGATTTGTTCATATCTTCAGGCCATTAACTTTTTGTTATATATTTTATGCAAAATTTCAGGTTATATCTCTTAATCCTATCACACACTCCAATTAACTCATCTATCTATTACCATGATTACTGCAGTGATAATAATTATATCTAGCGTTTATCCCATTCACCATTAACTTGGCATTAAATCCCATCTTCTTAAAACTTTATCAGGTTGAATTTATAGATCACAACAAATCAATCAAATCAATCTAACATCTGTATAAATTACAGCTAAATAGACATACCATTAATTACCTCAATTACAGTTAGGCCCTCAATGCATATTTGAACAACATTTAACTCTTCATCAACTCAGAAACAAACAATTCACTGATATGATAAAGATCAGAAGCAGAAGAGAAGGCCGACAAGACCTGATTACCCTGTGGCAAACAAAAACTGGGAAAAACAATAATCCTTCATGATTTGGGTTGTACGTTAGATCATTTTGGAAATGCAATCATAAAACTAAAACACATTTTATGAAAATGTAATGGGGGGGGGGGATCATAAGATTAATTAGTCTAATTCTTTTATCCTTTAGATTCAGAGGATATTACTAAGCAAAAATGAATGAAAGTCACCTTGCAATAAGCATCATCATTAAATCAAGCTAGCATAGGTTAAAACAGGTTTACTATTAAGCATTAGTTCTTTATATAAGCTAGGGTTTGTGATTGCTGTAAGCATAATTTACTGTCAAAATGTCAATGCAATACATGTACATGTCAATGTCTTATTGCAGGCCGAGCCTGAGTCAGGGCTTGTGGTAATTAAGTCTAAGATTGTAGTTAGAGGACAAGATTTTAGACAAAACCATTTAATTATTGTCAAATTGCTAGTTATCTGCATCTCTGATGCCTGGGTTTCTGATTCATACAGAATTGGGTGGAAAAAATTTCAAGTCATATTACTATCAACTGAACAGAAAAATAGTTTATGCAGACTTCAAAGGCCTTGCAGATTTTATTGCAATTATGGTGGAGATGACTTTGCACGATGTTGATATAATTCCTACACAGGAGTTATTTCTTAAAAGAGAACAGAATAATACATGATGTGCAGCTAGCACATGGAAATATCTAGAGAAGATTTGCAGAAGAAATTCAAAGATAATGTCCCCCCCCCCCCCCCAAAAAAAAGATAGTAAATATATCTATATTACCTATATTTCAATAAATACTTTATAAATGTACAAAAATTTATTTAACTTTTTTGCTTAAAATAATGTAAGATCACATCATATCATGCAGCCATATATGATAAGAGTGATGATCTCAGCTTGCTTGTGAAATGAAATTAACATGTGCAGATCCAAAGGTCAATTTTCTCTGAGTTAACATTAATTTGATAAAACAGAGATTGAAACAGCTCTGCCTGATCAATACCATTCATATTTCATCCTTGCTTTGCAAGATACTTGACATTGTAAGTTATGGTTTCTTTAAAGACTTGCAAGGCATAACACATTATGTAGTGACTCGGAGGAATACTGGCCAATACAGAGTTCACACTCTGATAGCTATAGGAAATGATTGTTAGTTATATCCCCATTGCTAATCTTCAAATTGATTAGATGATACCGTATTATTTTCCACATAGAGAGTTCGATCTGATAGGACACTGTAGGAATAATGAACATCATACTAAAAATTAAAGTAAAAGGCTTCAAAAAATAATAATGATAGTTAAGGAGGAATACCACACCAAATTCTTATTTATAGATCTCGATCCAAGTCAACCTTTTTAAACAATGGTTTCAGTATTGAAAGGTCAACATTAGCTTTTGATGATTTTTTTTTTTTATTTTGTCAAGGAAAATTTAAAAAAATCATTTACATCCAATTTACATGATTTAGAAGCTTTCTTGAAAAACTTTTGCTATAAATGAATGCATCACATGAATACCTAATAAATATGTAAAGAAAAGCCATATAGATCTTAATTCATAATATAAATTTTAAAAATATATATGAAAATTAAGCTCTTATAATTTGTGAATGTTTTTTTTTAACGTGTGGTTAAAATATTATTAAAACCAGTCACAACTGGAGAGAACATGTTCGTTAATCATATTTATAAAAGAAATTGAAGCGAATTATAGTCAATTTTTAGTGAAATTATTATTTTTTTTTAATTTTGACCAATCCGGTGTCATATAGTGAGACTTCCCCCATAGTGAGGCTTCCCCCGGAACGCTAGCTATATAGTATCTATCTCTAATTTTACACATTGTTTAAACGAGGTTTTTGAGCCATATTGTAAACATAATATTTGTAATAAACAAAACATAAGGAACTAGAAAACTGACCAGTCAGCAAGGGCCCCGCCATGGGGTAGAATTAAAAGGGTGCAGCTTACAGAATGATTAATAAATGTACAAAGAATAAGCAACAGCAACTGTATTCTTAAAATTTCAACATAATTCCTGAATATTCAAAAACCTGAAAATAATATTCTTGTATTTACATAAGGCAGTAAAGAACAACTTAACATTGAATTTATTTTTAAACAATTATGAATCTTGTGTTATATAAAATGCCAGCCTTCAATGAATGCAAATATCATGAAGGCTTGACCTTAACTTCAAACAAACAGCAGTCGCAGACAAAGGTGTTCATTAATCTTAAAGTGACAGATAAAGAAAAGCCTACTAAATTTTCTGCAGCAAGCTAGATAATTAATCCCAAGGGATTAATTGTACCTCTCTCATCATTTTCTTCTAAAGTTACAATAAGAACTTTTTCAGTATTAATGATAGACTGGGGTTTTTATACAACTACATTGAAAATTAAAAACATTCTTGAATTAATATATCTTTTTTTTAAAAAAAAGTAAAAAAGTGAGAAAAAAAAGTACCCTGGTAAATTAAGGTGTGAGTTTAGGCGATGTCAAGGTAGCCAGTTAGAATATCTGATGCGCACTTCGCCTAGGGAGTTTTTTAAATTTTTTTAAGAATTGTAAGCCACAAAATAACAGTAATCTTAGTGTAGAAGATTTTTTTGATCACTTAAGAAATCTAGGTGTCTGTAAAGATGTTACAAATAGTGATTTTTTGAATACAGAATATGATATGAATGCTGTATTTGATGAACTAGATGTCAATATAACTGTTAAAGAAGTTGTAGATGTTAAATTATAAACAGTTTAAAAAGCAGAAAATCACCAGGAAAAGATAATTTAATAAATGAATATTTTAAATATATGTGTGAAGACTTAAGTCCACTTTTAACGAGAATATTCAATGTTATATTTGAAACAGGTAATATTCCCCTCACATGGTGTGAAGTTGAAATAGTACCTATTCTTAAAAAAGCTGATCCAGATGTAACAGCTAAATAACTATAGGGGCATTACCCTCACTAAATAGCCATATCCCCCCCGGGGAAGACTCACTATATAGCCAGATTTCTGGGGGGGGGAAGTCTCACTGTGGCGGAAGTCTCACTAAATGACACCGGATCAAAATTAATCTGATCCCAACCATAATTGTAAAGTTTTTGGAAATAAATAACATTTCCCCAAGAATACAAGTCTGATTAGATGCGATAAGGGTTAAAAATTATTGAACCTGACAATAAAATAGATTTCTTCACTGTAAATACATGTAGAGGCATTAAATTAACATTTTATTCATTTTGATCTAAGTATTTAATTATAAGATTAGTTAAGTGATCATTTTTAAGACTGGAGATTACTGAGTACATTATGTACGATATGTACACACACACACACACACACACACACACACACATATATATATATATATATATATATGCAAAATTTTTCTATTTCAGGGCAAACCAAAACAACATCAACAGTAAAAGGGACTTACTCTACGATTGATCCATTTGAATTCAAAGGTATTTAATTTTTTTTGTTAAAAAATTTATGATTTTACTCCTATAACAGCTTAAAAAAAAAACAAGAAATATAAACTGATGCAAAAATGTTACTATCTTAAGGTTCTTGTATTTCTTTCCTTTGCTTTTCTGTTTATGAAAGAAATATCATGCAGTCAGGAAAACCTTCAATAATTTACTGATGCAATTAAAACAAGAGGCCCATGGGCCACATCGCTCACCTGAGAAGCTTTGACAATTCTGTCCTTTACTAGATTTACCCCTTGTAATACATATTGTGACCCCACCCTACCCCACTGATCATAATTTAGACAATTTGAAATCTACACTACCCCAGGATGCTTCCATATAAGTTTCAGCTTTTCTGGCCTAGTTGCTATTAAGAAGAAGATTTTCAAAGATTTTTCCAATATATTTCTATGTAAAACTTTGATTCCCCATTGTGGCCCCGCCCAATCCCCGGGGGGTCATGATTTGAACAATTTAGAATCTACACTACCCTACGATGTTTCCACATAAGTTTCAGCTTTTCTGGCACAGTGGTTCTTGAGAGGAAGATTTTCAAAGATTTTTCCAATATATTTCTATGTAAAACTTTGATTCCCCATTGTGGCCCCGCCCAATCCCCGGGGATTATGATTTGAACAATTTAGAATCTACATTACCCCAGGATGCTTCCACACAAGTTTCAACCTATCTGGCCCAGTGGTTCTTGAGAAGAAGATCTTTAAATGACCCCACCCTATTTTTGTCTTTTCTTGATTATCTCCCTTTGCGAGGGGATATGTCCCTTCATTTTAACAATTTAAATTCCCCTTTACCCAAGGATGCTTTGTATCAAGTTTGGTCAAAATTGGCCCAGTGGTTCTTGAGAAGAAGTCGAAAATGTGAAAAGTTTACGGACGGACGGACAGACGGACGGACGACGGACACAATGTGATCAGAAAAGCTCACTTGAGCCTTCGGCTCAGGTGAGCTAAAAATGACCCACATTGGATTAAAAAAGTTAAGATACAAAAAAATCCATGTATATGTAAATATTAAACAATTTAAGGTTAACAAATATAAATTAAAATTGGAATAAAATTTTTTGCTAAGATAATAATTAACTTGTCATTTTTTTGGTCTCAACAATGGTTAAAAAATGCTGGTAAGTTGAGAATATGCAGTACATGACTATTTACATGTACTATCATGATGAATTTTTGCAAACCTTTTAAAGAAAAGTTTATAATGACTTGTTTAAATTTCCTGTTTAATTCATTGAATAAAAAAAATCACTTAATTATTACTCCTTAGATGATGCAGCATCTGATAAACTAAGTGATGTGGCTACACAGAATTTAGTACCAGTACACGTAGAAGTACACAGACCATCTATCGCAGGTGCTTCTGCCTTTTTGATTTTTCACAGTAAATTAATTAAAGCTTTTAATGATAAATTACAAAAATATATACATAACATTATATTAATTGTTTTTTTTATAGATTGCTCTGAAGTGGGTGATATTTCTCCGGTAATAGCAGAACCAGTAGAAGTCTGTGAAGATGAGTTAAATGGTATGAAGTTTATTCTTAATGTCTAATCACTTAATTACTACATTGCTCATGATATGTTATGCCCTTTTGGACTTGGTAAAATTCCAATTTGGGGAAAGGGGGCATAAATGTTTTACAAACAGCTCTTGGTCAAACATGTTTTATCATAATTATTTTTGTAAGTCAAAATGTAAACTTAAAAGGCAATTCGAAATACCCTAAATGATTATAAATATGGAAGCTTTGGAATAGAAAAAATGCCTTAGGTACAATCATAGAGTGACTAATTTTTACCCAAAATGCAGCCAGAATGCAGGATTTTGCATCTCTATTCTCTATTCCCCCTCCAACACCTATTCCCCTCATCGCTTCGTGACTAGGCCTGCTAGACAACTACAGGTAATAGATGAACAGGGCTAGTAGAAATTAGACAACTATATGGTTTTAAAGTTAGTGTCAATCCCTGTAAACTATTAAATAAAAAACCAATTTCTATTTTTTCCTAGTCACAGTCCTCAGGAGAGCGATGTGGCCCATGAGCCTCTTGTTTGGTTTCATCATCTCTCTTTAATTCATTTAATAATTTGATGGGAAATTTACTAAATTAAGTTAGTAATCTACCAAGAAATGTCAACAAGAATATATGAAATTCTTTTTATCAGTTTTTGATCTCAATATTGAGTACTAATGAGTGGTGATATCAGGTTTATTAAATAACAGTGGAATTCGAAACCGCTTTGTACATGAAAGGATCATAAGACTCCTTACTTTGTGATCAGATGCTATATATAGATACATGTAATTTCTATAGGTGGTTCATGACTAAAGGAACTGTGACTATCCCAAAGTCAGTCAGCAAATTTTACGGTTACTACAAAAGAACTTAAGAGTATAATATCATTGTTCTTGATTTCTGTGAACTTATTGAGAAGTTTGGAAATAAAGATTCATTGCTTAATATAATAGCAATATCTTTATGTGTATACAATATCATAAAGATTTGTTAGCTTAAATAAAATTAAAAATTTGGTAATTTCAGTATCACCAGAAATAAGCCGTAGTGAAAATGAGAGTACCAGCTTATCAGGGAAATCTCATACAGAAAATGGAATTCTTGTGGAGGCCATTCAAAAGAAACTTAAAGGTGAGAATCAGACCAATTTAATCTTACACTTCATCTGCTGATTGAATCTTTGTGCATACTTTATCACTTTACAAATTATTTATTATCTTTTTAGAAATATATAATTTTTTCCTACCTTGTTAAGAAAGTTATGAAAAAAAAAATAACTGGTTTTCAACAACGTTTTTATTGAGCCCTAACTTAGCCACTGCACAGAAAGTATTTTCATTTAAACTTATACATATTCAAAGTCAAATTGAGGCTCATATCTAATTTCTCAATGCCGATTTTTTCAAATACCATTTTTTTACATACATTTTCCTTACATCACTAAAAGTTTGGGGGGCCAACCAACATTTCAATGAACATTGTCTATAGTATATGTATATTGGGGAAAAGGGGGGGGGGCAAAGAAATTAGTATTTACCGGTAAAACTGCAAATGGTTTCATTTACTGTATATTGAATGAAGAAAACTATTTTTGTGTAATGTCACAGCATAGGTCACAGTAAATTTTCATGTATAAATTAGACCATGTCATCTTATTTTTAGCCTTATCAATGCTTCATATGAGGTGGGTTTTTTTTAAATATCTTAATCTGAAAAACAGCAATAAAATGTTGATACATGTAACTTATGTTGAAAATATAATGACATCTATACATTTATTCTTTTGCTAGGCTACATGGTACTCCCTGTGTCAGAGCTACGACAACCGTCTTTCATCAACTTGTTAAGAGAACCAGATCGTAAGCATGTAAAGGAACTAGAGAAAGAATTCCAAGAAAGACCAGGGAATTACTTTCAGCTGATGGTTGTTAATGCTTGCGGTGACCTAAAGGAGGACAATTTTGAGTCATGCACTCTTGAGGTGATAGGGGGAAATCACTCCAGAGAGGCTCTTCAAAACATAATATGTAAAGCCCCCAATCCATCTTTGTTTGAGAAGAGAATGTGCATCGTCTACACAAATTTAAACCCTGATGAGGCCAAGTATGTTGCCAATCAGCATAACCAGGTCAGAAAGTTTGGTACTGACCTTGACCTGATAGACAGAGCTGGCTGTTTCAGGTATGCTCTGTTTGAAAAAGCTGGCTATACAGATGTCAAGGACACAGTTACTGAAAAGACCCCGGAACAAAAGGACACCATTCAAAAATGGAAGGAGGGGCTACAGCTATGTGTCGGAGCAGTCAGTGTAAGTTAATCCTTTCACTTTGTTTGATTGCACAATAATGATATGTACTTATCATGCTTATGGCCAACAAAGAGTTTACTTATGTAATGTAGGTGCATTGATCAATATATTCATAAATAATTCTATGATATGTCAATATTTTCTTTATAGAGAAAAACTCTTAACAACCGATTCAGGTTTGAAATAAAGTTAGCACAACTTGACACGGAAATTTGGAAAGAATTTCTTGAGTTTCATAAGAAATTGAAAAAGGAAGTAAAGAAAGAGAAGATCAGTGGGCGACTATTAAAGCCATTAAATGGAATTCCATCAGGGGACTTGCTTAAATTCTTGAAAGAGTACAATGCAGAAACAATTAACTTCAAGCAACTGATCTCTCTCTGCATGGAGTCAAAATCGTAAGTACATATATTCATTTTATTGAACAAACCATATTTAATTTGATTTTTATTTTACTTTTAGATTGATTTTTTATTGTTATTAATTGTATCAATATATTTTTTTATTTTTAAAATTGTTAACAGCAATGAAGCTAACAAAAAGGATGAAAGGTCTGAACAAGGGACATTGTTATCAAGCTCTGAAGTAGAGGTATTCAACATACAATACACATTAAATGTAACAAATCATTTTAAAGTTTTGATTGGACAACATATATTGCTTTCTAGTTTTGTCATTAATGTAAAGAAGTTTTAAATAGAAAATTATGAAGCATAGCATTTACACTTTGGTATATCAACAAAATATTTTCAGACCTCTGTTGAGCCAATGAATGATGGAGTAGAGGAAGAGGAGGCTATGGATTACACCAAAGTTATTGAGGCATTGAAGGTAAAAAAAATCAATGTGCAAATTAAAGTTTTGGCCTATTTAAAGAAATTCCTTTATTTCTAAAATGGAGTTGTGAAAAAATTTGGAAATTTTGTAAATAAAGCATGTAAAGTAAGAGGCATTAGAATGAGTAAAAAATAAATGCAAAAATGTTTCTAAAAATAAAATGAAAAAAAACCTCTATATATTTATATATATCTTACTGTTTCAGAGAACAGCAGCTAAAGAGAAAAAGATCAATGGCGAACTGAAGCGGGAGAATGCCGAATTAAAAGAGGCATTAGAAACATCAAAAAAGGAAAAAGCGGATATTAAAAAAGATCTTGCACAAAGATTGCTTACTGAGAAGAAAATGAATGATGAAATTCAGCAATTAAAGGTAATTTCTGCTGATGATACTTTAATATGATATCTGTACAGTGAAAAGTTGGCAAGAAATGTAGAAAACAAATGTCAAGACTTCATGCTTTATAAATTTACAGGAAAAGCTTAATCAAGTAACGAAAGAATGTAGGATTTTGAGGGAAAAACAAGGCAAGATTACTAAAAGGAAAATCACATCAGGTTAGATTACTACTTTTCATATTTTCAGCTTACCTCATTTATAAGCTTAATAAAGCTGAAAGCTTATTTGAGCTTTTCTGATTACCTGTCATCTGTCGTTTATCCGTTTGTCTCTCTGTCTGTAATTTTTTTCACTTTTTCCAATTTTGAAAGATCATTGAACCACTTTTAACCCAAATTAGAACAGAGCATCTTAGGTGAAGGAAAATTTAAATTGTTAAAATAAAAGATCCCCTTCTGACGAAATCTAATTAAAAAAATTTTAGACATAAGTAGGGTTTGGGTCCTCAAATTTTTTTTTCTCAAGAACCATTCTAAAATTAAAAAAGCATACATTCTAAAATATTTAAATCATGGCCCTAAGGGTAAGATTATGCAGGCCTAAAAAGAGAATTCAAAGGGGAATATAATTTATAAAGACATTGTTTTTTAAAATGGTCCTCTTGTTACTCTTATTGAAGCTCATGAGGTAATATGCACCCTAAATTGTTCAAAATGTGACAAATGTGACCCCCAAGTCAATATAGTCAAAATAGGGAATACAAGTTTAACATTCAAACATAAGGGGAAGACTGGGTCAGGAAAGATGAACCTTCCTGGGGTAGTGTAGATTCTGAATTGCACAAAGCATGGCTCCTGGGCATCATGTTTTACATTTAAATATAACCCCACCCCCCAAAAAATGTTAAAAATTTCAATAATAACTGTGTCAGAAAAACTTAAATCAAAGCTTTTGAAGTAGTGCAGATTCTATATTGTTCAGCAAATGATCTCCGACAGGTTTGGACAATAATAAGGAATTCAAGTTTTTTTTTTTATTAAAGAATGCCTTATATTGTATTTTTTTCATTTAAAAAGCAGTGGATGTCATAGAAGACACTTTACCAGTGATGAAAAAACCAGCCACTGATGAATGGAGTTTTAAGGAGGGACAGGAGGACCTAGAAGTAGGCAGGGTTGTGGCCATTACACCAATTCGCCAAAAAGATGTTGTGGATGGAGAACCATGGTTGGCCTTGACAAATGAAGTTGCCAAAGCAAAGATCAAAGTGTCATGGCTGCAAGGGAGCTACAACACCAGTTGGATACCCAATCCAGACTTTGAAGGATGTGCTCCAGATAGCATCCCTAGGAATAGGGTGGCATGTAGCTTTAAGTTTATCGGCGATAAAATCTTACCTGGCTACATTGTAGATAAGCTAAAGAAGATATTTAAAAATTAAGACATAAGAAAACCTATGCAAATAAGCCACAAATAAGTAGTGACAATAGTATTGGGTACATCAGTATGGGTTTTCACTACCATTAGAACTAGTTTCATTATGACATGCCAGTGCAATCTGTATAGTGTGTTTTATTAACTTGTATTTTGTAATCTAACATTTCTTGCACTAATTTACAATACCATTTGCTTATAGCTTTGAGAAGAACGAACAATGTTTTATACAAACAATTACTGGATTGACATCCATGTGAAGTATTTAAAGTCCATCTTATAAATGAATTGTACTTTGTATATGTCATGCAAAGAAATGAAATTTGATGAATAACACATTCAATGTCAATTTGTCATATTTATTTTTTGTTATTTGTGTTTATCCATTAATGCATTTGAAATTGGGAGAGGAACGTTCCTCTCAAGATTTTTTTGTTACAGATTCATGCATTTATTGAGTTCACTTAAAATTGGGAGAGGAACGTTCCTCGCAGGTTTTTTTGTTAAAGATTCATGTATATATTGAGTTCACTTCAAATTGGGAGAGGAACGTTCCTCGCAGGTTTCCTTGTTTAAGATTCATGTATAAATTGAGTTCATTTGAAATTGGGAGAGGAACGTTCCTCGCAGGTCTTTTTGTTAAAGATTCATGTATATATTGAGTTCACTTCAAATTGGGAGAGGAACGTTCCTCGCAGGTTTCCTTGTTTAAGATTCATGTATAAATTGAGTTCATTTGAAATTGGGAGAGGAACGTTCCTCGCAGGTCTTTTTGCTAAAGATTCATGTATATATTGAGTTCACTTCAAATTGGGAGAGGAACGTTCCTCGCAGGTTTTTATTTGTTAAAGATTCATGTATATATTGAGTTCACTTGAAATTGGGAGAGGAACGTTCCTCGCAGGTTTCCTTGTTTAAGATTCATGTATAAATTGATTTCATTTGAAATTGGGAGAGGAACGTTCCTCGCAGGTTTTTATTTGTTAAAGATTCATGTATATATTGAGTTCATTTGAAATTGGGAGAGGAACGTTCCTCGCAGGTCTCCTTGTTAAAGATTCATGTATATATTGAGTTCACTTCAAATTGGGAGAGGAACGTTCCTCACAGGTTTTTTGTTAAAGATTCATGTATATATTGCGTTCACTTCAAATTGGGAGAGGAACGTTCCTCGCAGGTCTCTTTGTTTAAGATTCATGTAAATATTGAGTTCACTTCAAATTGGGAGAGGAACGTTCCTCGCAGGTTTTTACTTGTTAAAGATTCATGTATATATTGAGTTCACTTGAAATTGGAAGAGGAACGTTCCTCGCAGGTCTCTTTGTCTAAGATTCATGTATATTTAAAGATTTTTTGAGAGGAACGTTCCTCACAGGTCTCTTTGTTAAATAATAAAGGATCCAAAAGTTTGAATTTTTAGGGTTTTCTATTGCAAAAAAGACTGGAGGAGCTGCATTTAATGATATTGTAGCCTAAAATGGCTTCAGATTTGAAATAATGGGTTTAAAAAAAGGAATTTTGATTTTCCTTTTTTGATTTGGATTGTGTTTTGTAGAGTACCAGGTTTTGTGTTTTGTAGGGTATTTGTAGATGACCTGGTTTTTTTGTTTTAGTGTGTTTGTAGATGACCTGGTTTTGCGTTTTGTAGGGTACCTGTAGAGGACTGGGTTTTGTGTTTTGTAGGGTACTTGTAGAGGACCGGGTTTTGTGTTTTGTAGGGTATTTGTAGATGACCTTGGTTTGTGTTTTGTAGGGTATTTGTAGATGACCTGGGTTTGTGTTTTGTAGGGTATTTGTAGATGACCTGGGTTTGTGTTTTGTAGGATGTTTGTAGATGACCTGGGTTTGTGTTTTGTAGGATGTTTGTAGATGACCTGGGTTTGTGTTTTGTAGGATGTTTGTAGATGACCTGGGTTTGTGTTTTGTAGGGTATTTGTAGATGAACTGGGTTTGTGTTTTGAGTGTGTTTGTAGATGATCCTGGGCTTGTGTATTGTAGGGTATTTGTAGATTACCTGGGCTTCTGTATTGTAGGGTATTTGTAGATGACCTGGTTTTGTGTTTTGTAGGATGTTTGTAGATGACCTGGGTTTGTGTATTATAGGGTATTTGTAGATTACCTGGTTTTGTGTTTTGTAGGGTATTTGTAGAGTACATGGTTTTATGTTCTGTAGGATATTTGTAGATAACTTGACTCTGTGTTTTGTAGGGTGTTTGTATATGACCTGGTTTTTGTTTTGTAGGGTACTTGTAGAGTACCAGGTTTTGTGTTTTGTAGGGTATTTGTAGATGACCTGGTTTTTTGTTTTTAGTGTGTTTGTAGATGACCTGGTTTTGCGTTTTGTAGGGTACTTGTAGAGGACCGGGTTTTGTGTTTTGTAGGGTATTTGTAGGAAGTTTGTAGATGACCTGGTTTTGTGTTTTGTAGGGTATTTGTAGATGACCTGGTTTTGTGTTTTGTAGGGCAATTGTAGATGACCTTGGGTTTGTGTTTTGTATGGTATTTGTAGATTACCTGGGTTTGTGTTTTGTAGGGTATTTGTAGAGGACATGGTTTTATGTTTTGTAGGATATTTGTAGATAACTTGACTTTGTGTTTTGTAGGGTGTTTGTATATGACCTGGTGTTTGTTTTGTAGGGTTCTTGTAGAGTACCAGGTTTTGTGTTTTGTAGGTTATTTGTAGATGACCTGGTTTTTTTGTTTTTAGTGTGTTTGTAGATGACCTGGTTTTGCGTTTTGTAGGGTACTTGTAGATGACCTGGTTTTGTGCTTTGTAGGGTATTTGTAGGAAGTTTGTAGATGACCTGGTTTTGTGTTTTGTAGGGTATTTGTAGATGACCTGGGTTTGTGTTTTGTAGGGTATTTGTAGAGGACCGGGTTTTGTGTTTTGTAGGATGTTTGTAGATGACCTGGGTTTGTGTTTTGTAGGGTATTTGTAGATGAACTTGGTTTGTGTTTTTAGTGTGTTTGTAGATGACCTGGACTTGTGTATTGTAGGGTATTTGTAGATTACCTGGGTTTGTGTTTTGTAGGGTATTTGTAGAGGACATGGTTTTTGTGTTTTGTAGGATGTTTGTAGATGACCTGGGTTCGTGTTTTGTAGGTTATTTGTAGAGGACCTGGTTTTGTGTTTTGTAGGGTATTTGTAGATGAATTGGGTTTGTGTTTTGTCGGGTACTTGTAGATTACCTTGGGTTTGTGTTTTGTAGGGTATTTGTAGAGGACATGGTTTTGTGTTTTGTAGGATGTTTGAAGATGACCTAGGTTAGTGTTTTGTAGGGTATTTGTAGATGAACTGGGTTTGTTTTGTAGGGTATTTGTAGAGAACATGGTTTTGTGTTTTGTAGGGTATTTGTAGAGGACCTGGGATACAGGATCAGGATCTGTCCCTTCCCGAGTCTTCATGGCTGTTGTCACCTACTTACCACTATAGCAATGGGCAAGGAACACCGAGAGGATTCTGATAGCACTGGGGCAATTTATATGTTTCTTAATTTATGTGCTCTTTGGGATATTTGTGAAATAACAATTGATCTAATTTCAATGTAGGTAAATCAAGACCAACAGGCTTGAGTGAATGCCTGGCAGCAATAGAAACACATGTGAAACTCTTAGATTTACCTCAGAAAGATGATAAACGGTAAATCTGACTTGTAAGCAATTAAAGGTCTGGATAAAATCACATGTAAAATGCATTGCAATATCCTGATCCCATCAACATTTAAGGTATGACTATTCATGATTGCAAAATTTTTCTTTAAATTCAAAACCATGTGAACATGCCCTCGCCCAAATTACCGTTGGTAAAGGTTTAGACATTACCTTTTATTCAAATGCTATATTTGCGTCAGGTATAAGCTTTTACTGATATTTTTGTATCATCCGAATCGAAGATATTGGGGGTATCAGGGGTACATAAGTTTTGGCTCGTCTGTCTACAGTCCCTGAAACGTTCTACTTTCCCAACTGAACGGTGAACGAACGGTGAACGAACGCTGAACGAACGGTGAACGAACGCAGAGCGAACGGTGAGTGAACGATGTGCGAACGGTGAACGCAACTTGGTGAACGATGTGTGAACGGTGAACGGTGAGTGAACGCAGAACGCGAACGGGGCGCGAACGCGAGCGCAAAGTGAACGGTGAACGAACGGTGAACGCAAGATGAACAACTTATTCGGAAGGTCTTCGATCTTTTCCTTGTATTGAAATTATTCTTTTATTCTATAATTCAAATGTCAAAAATAAATATAAATACACAATAGATAAACAAAAGAGAAATAAATAGATAGATAAATAAGTAATTATAATAAATAAACAATAAAAATAAATTCTAGACATACGTATGTTTAAATCCATATTTTAATAAGATGATTTGAATCGCTGTCAAACGTGTATTTGTTACCGCGTGTAGTTAAAAAATAAATTAATCTTATATACTAGTAAATAATTATGCTTATTCTTTTAACTAATAATATAATGTGGACTTCAGAAGATAAAACTACTACTGAGATAAACAATAAATAAATAAATAAATAAAAACATTTTTTCTGCACATACATATGTTTAAATCGATATTTTAATGACATGATTTTAATCGCCGTCAAACGTGTATTTGTTACTGCGTGTACTTAAAAAATAAATTAATCTACTTATATAGTAAATAATTATGCTTATTCTTTTCACTAATAAGATAATGTGGACTTCTAAGATAAAACTACTACTTATAGAATTAATTAATTACATTGTACGGGGTTGAAACAACCGTACATGTATTTCCGCGCCAAAGCCATTCTGAGTAAAATAACGGATTTTTTTTAAAATCACAATTATCTGTTGACATTGACTGTTATCGTACTGCACAAAAATTCTCGTTTTATTTAAATTCTACTGCAAAATATTCTTTATGTGCCTTTTTATTCTTTTATGACGATTATTTTAGCTAACTTCATGTATCTGTAGACATTTCCCGGCCGTGATTATACTCGGTCAAGATGTTGGAAAGAGGCATTCAAATTATTTGTAATACATGTGTAGATTAAATGTTCAAAAGTAAATAAGTAATGTGTTGTCATAGTTTTATTGAACAGAGATATGTACGAGAGAGAGAGAGAGAGAGAGAGAGAGAGAAAGAGAGAGAGAGAGAGAGTAAGAGAGAGAGATAACCCCCGCGATTCTCAAATATATGTTGTATCAAATAAAAATTTTAATTATTTTTCCTAAATATTCCAAGCAATAAAGGAAATCTTTTTTTAATAGATTAACAAATCCACTTGACAGTAATCATTGGCTTTTATTTTCCATCATCAAATTCACACAGTTCACAGGAAGTCCGTGCTACATTTGTAGTAGCGTGCTTGTGCTGTCAATCAAAATAATTCGACACAGTGGAGGTGTGGAAATCGCGTTTCACTGAACATGCCGAAGGCAAAAAGTCACTAGTATTCCAAGAAATTTTAATATTTTTCTCTATCATTTCTAGATCTGATTTTTGCAATCCTGCAGAAAAAAAAATAATTCTAACATATATTCAGAAGGATTAAGTTTTAAATTGAATTTGAAACATATTCCCTGCCAATTTAAAATACTACTGTCGGCACAAGTTTATACTAAAATACTATTCTTTAATGACTGTTTGATGTTGGTTTTAAGACTGATTTACTTGTGTTACAATAAAAATTAGATATTAATGAAAATATACTGAAAAAAAAACTCAATAAGAATTTTATTTCGGGAGAAAAGGCACCGGGGGGGGGGGGGGGGGGGGGGGTCTTAATTATACTGAATAGCAAAAAAAAAACAAAAAAAAGCATATTTTTAAACATATGTTTAGGTACGGTGAATTTAGGAAGGATTTTTTCTTCTCTAATACTAGACTATTTTAAACTGTTGGTCTTTTCTAAAATTTAAAACCACACCATCAATTTAATTAGCTCTAAAGAAATTTAATTAACTGAATATTTGCAGTTCTGTTCATAATTCTCAAACCTACATGCAGTTTAAATATGTGTTACTATAGAAGTAATTTTTCTATGTATTCTTGTCCTGTATAAGACTTCGATTAATTATTATACATCCATTAATAATTTGTCCAGTTTAAAATTACATCAAATTGATGCCGTGCGTGAAGCATTTGTACATTGCCCTTTTTTAATTTAATATTTTAGCATCGTTCTACATACATGTAGGTACTTAATGTATTAATTATTTTCCAGGGAAAATTCAGGAAATAAGTAACAGCTGAGTTATAATAATAGAAAAAATAAAAATCATAGATAATTTTTGCAATGAAATAATTATTCTTCAAGCACGATATCTAAGTTATTTAATTAAAAAAACAAGTAAATCCTTACCATCAAAAAGATAAGTCCTTTCACTTCGGAGTTCCGAATGACAATGAAGACTGAACG